AAGAAGAACGAATAAAATAACACGTGTACAAGATAAAAATATAAAATGTCATTGACGTTGATAGTAGTGTCCTGTTATTAGTTTTGAGTAGGAAAAAGAAAGAGAAACGATAGTCTTTATCTTAACATTGACGTATATTATAATAACATATAATAAAAACGAATGTTTACAGATATTCCTTTAATTGATTTTGGTCCTTTTCTTAATGGAACACATGAAGATCGTCAAAAAGTATCATCAGAAATAGGTGATGCTTGTCGTAATGTTGGCTTTTTTTATTTATCAAATCATGGTGTATCATCATCACTTATAGAACGTGTTTATGAACAAGCGAAACATTTTTTTTCTCAATCAATTGAAGATAAAATGAAATTATATATTGGTTCATGTCCATATAAAAATAATCGAGGTTATACACCTATGTTTGAAGAAAAATTAAGTCTTAAAGGTGATCTTAAAGAAGGTTTTGATTTAGCGATGGAATTACCAGCAGATGATAAAGATCGTATAGAACGAGGTGCTTCTTTATATGGACCAAACTTTTGGCCTGAGAATCTCCAAGGTAAATTTTTTTATCCCCCCAAAAAAAGAAAATAATTTATTAAATTAAATAGATTTCATTTAGGATTTCGTGAATGTATTTATGATGAATATTATTTAACAATGCTTTCTCTTGGTCATCAAGTATTAGAAGCATTTGCTTTATCTCTTCATTTACCTTCAACTTATTTTAAAGATATTTGTCAAAAACCAATGGTAACTATGCGTCTTCTTCATTACCCTCCACAACCAATTATTATTGATGAAGATCAACTTGGTTGTGGTGCGCATACTGATTATGAATGTTTTACACTTCTTTCTCAATCAAATCAATCTGGTCTTCAAGTACTTAATAGTAAAGGAGAATGGATTAATGCTAAACCTATTCCAAATACATTTGTTGTTAACATTGGTGATCTTATGCAACGATGGACAAATGATCAATTTAAATCGACAGTGCATCGTGTTATTAATACAAGTGGAACAACACGTTATTCAATACCTGTCTTTTTTGGACCCGATTATTTTGCTGAAATTAAATGTTTAATTAATAATGAAATAGCAAAATATGAACCAGTTATTGCCGGAAAATATTTAACACAAAGATTTGATGATACTTATCATTATAGACAAAAAGATGCTACGTCTTCAATCTAATTTATGATTCATGTTTAATAAATATATACATATAAATGAAATATCAAATTAATATGAGATTATAAACAATATTTCTTATCTTCTAACATATTTTTTTATTATGTCGATGGATGTCACACTTGAGAGTGTTTACATGATTGAAAAAGAAAACATATATATTTAAGCCACACGCTATATCATTCATGCAAAACGTTTCATGAAACTCTCATCTATATAAAATGCTCAGTACTGATTCATGCTTGTAAAAGTATCAAAGAGGTCACTTAAAAAATAAACACAAAGAGTCGCGAAGAGTAAACGAGAAAAAGAGAGAGATCTATTGTTAAGCAGTACCGAATATACAAGAGTAGAAAGTGAAAAGAGAAAGAAAAAATAATGGAAGTGATACATTATATTTTTGTTTTTGTGTCGGTCTATCAATTGCTGCACATAACTTTGTAACTGAATTCTCTAACAAGTGTTCAGAATTAATGGTACACAGAGCCTAAACACAAAATAAGGGTGTGGGTCTGAATGAAGTAAAGTTTGACACCCACATCCATATACAGCCACTTAAAGTAATGGCTATAAATACATAGTCATTTTACATAGTATTTCATGCTCTCTCTATATGTGTTCAAAATGCTTTTCTGACTTATGATTGATTCAATAAGACCAAATCCCTGAAGGGACCAACAACAACGTCTGTCCACGATTTTTCATGCATCTCATTTTTGTATTTTGATTAAAATTACCTTGGCACAGGCTTTGTGAAAAGTTTTTTATACATCAATTTATAGAGCGAAGCTTGCTCTATAAAATACATAATTTGTTATTTTTGTTACATGCTGATACGAAGGATCGAAATTTAGAGCATTTTTAGTCCTGAAATTCGAATGGCGGCGAAAAGCCTACTTGGCTAGGTGTCAGCATTCTTTTTTTTATTTATTCAGGTATTTATTCACAGCTAATCAGTCATAAGTCAGAGAAAAATTCTGAAAATACATTTGGAAAGAGCTTCAAAGTCTGACTCTATCTGACTACTTTTTATTCTCCTCAATGGCATTTGGGTATTCGAAAAATGAGCAAACATGTGTTAAGACCTGTTAATTGAGCGTTTTGTACAAACGTCGGTTTTGGTTCTTTGAAAGATTTGCTTCTAATGAAACAACCATTCGTCAGAAAAAAAAAGTTAAACATATATTTAGACAGAGCATGAAGTGCTCGTTCTGGCTGACTGTCTTTGATTCGCTCCAGTGAGCTATATGTGACTGAGGACTGAAGAAATATGTTGTGCAAAGATTTTCAATAAGAGTAAAAAATGTGTCTGAAAAATATAAATGATATTCTCACATTTATATCTCTCTTCTGTCTTAAGCTGGAGCTTTTATTTTTACACAATAAGTATACTTTCGAATGCTCTTTAAAATGACTATTTATTTATTGAAATCACTGGAGTGGCTGCAGAGACATATCGATTAAAAAAGTTCTATGAACTTTTTTTTTCCATATCTTACAATGTTCGGAAAAAAGTTATAGAATTTAAGATTTCTAAGTCTAGAAATAATTGCGATCAAAGCATGTTTTTTTTTCGATCACAATGAGATATAATCTGCTTTATTGTAGGTCTACTATTTCACAAAGAATGTTACAAATTCAATGTCGAAAACCAATGCTAATAAAGACAACGTCAGTGATTAACACGTTACTGACTCTCTGTGTTCATCGTCTATGGAAAGAGATAAGATTTGAGCTTCTCTATTAAAAGTTTTTCTTTTTTATTTTGGTTTGTATCAAGCATCCACACCCATGTTATTTATAGGTATATACTGATGGATATATCAAAATAAAAAAATGATACTCTTGTTCATATTAAAATGAAAAAATATTTCAATATATTTCAACAATGTATACCTAGTTATCAAGTACTCAACTAAAGTTCAATCCAGCTACTAATATTCTCTTCAATGATTAATAGATTTTGTATTTTAAATACGTTGTTGAATACATGAAGATTTTCTGATATTCTCATCTGTTTTATCACCATTTGCACATCTATTTTGAGAATATTTTAGTAGATGATCGCCTTTTTTGGATATACTCTTGCTTTAGTGGGAATGTGGATGTGCTGGTATTAATCACTATCATTATTCATCCTCTTTGACATTTGTGATTGGAACTATTCGCTGAAGGATGATAAATATGAGTCAGTTTTGTTTCTTTTTTTCCTGTATATTAAAATCGTTCATTTTTATTACACTTGTTTGGGGGAAAAAAATCATGTCTAATTGAGTTTTGTGTTACAAATACTACACTATCAGTTTGTTAAAAACATCTGTTCATATTTGTCTAGCAATACTCAATTATGTCATAAATAATTTCCAATGACTTCTTAATTTATCAATATGGTGCATAAAAATGACGTTGATATTTTTTATGATATTGTCATATGCAAAATAAATACAAATCAAACGTTTATTGAATATTCTCTAAGTAAATATCATCGCCTACTGTAACTGCTATTGCTAATCAAAAGAAAATATCAAGAAAATCATTATTTACCATTGTTAAGAATTGAGCATTTGACATATGTGACATATTCTGTAAATATATAAAACTGAGTGATAGAGTTGGCTATAAACAGATGCAAGTGATGAGAGATATTCTGAATATTAGCAGTTGAAGCTAGATATCGTGCTGCCCCTTCGTGTAGGTGAGGATGACGATTTAATTAATATTGACATGCTCTGATGTAATAGTCTAGATGTAAGAATGTATGCATCATGTATGAAGAGATTTTTCTTTATTAGTGATTAGTTGTGTACTGTGATAATATGTTAGAAGCGACGTTGTTCAGCCGTCATCTAAATGAAAAGAATGGAGAGATCATAGAACTAGACTTGAAGATGCTTGTTCTCTAAGAAGAGACAGTGTTTATCATACCAGAAGAAGAAGTTGTTTCGTGTTTTGATATTGTTTGCTCACGTAGCTAGACTAAATTGTCTTTTCTAGGCGTTATCAATGGCTCACAATCGCATCTATGCCAAGATCATTTTGTGCAATATTCATTTGCACTTCTTGGATGTAAACTTTCCTTCAATATGATGTAAGAATGCGATAGATACACAGAAGAAAATTAAGGAAAACCGTCCAATATTCAATCTTTTTGGCTTGTAGAGAACAGGATGAAGATCAATTAAAAAAATGAAATCCAAAGCCGCCAGATTCATTCGGTTTACAATTTGGGGCAACGAGCTGAATCGGATAAAATAAACGACAAAATATTACGGGTGGGACCAAATGAAGAAACGCTGACGAATCTTGTCGTCAACGAAGCTTTGGTAGTCCTTCATGAACGAGCGAAGCGTGCAAGGGAAGAAAGTGACGGCTCTGAAGCCGCATACATCAAGGAAAAGATTGTTTCCTTGCTAGAACAATATCCTAATATGCATTGATGTCAGCGGTAATGGGAAGATAACACATTTGAACTTTCTAATCAATTGCAACTGGCATCTCATATGTTTGCTTTATTCCGCTTTTTGTTTGTCTAAAATCATTGTTTTAATTTTCTATATATATTATTCATGATCATATTCACTGCTCATATATGAAAATTGCGAAATTTTGCAAATAAAAATATACAAAACACAAATTTCATAAAATCAAATAATATAGCTTTTTTTCAAAAGAAATTAAATAAATCAGTGTTTTCTTAAAGTTTTTTCAATTTGTTAGTCATGATCTATGAAAAACACGTTATGTAAGGCTCAACATAATTCTCTGCTTCGCTTACGACATAACGATGATGAGTTCTGTGACATTGTATGAATCAAAAAAAAATTGAAGACCTATAGCCTTAATCCCTTATTGCCCTATAGGCTTATCCCTTTATATATAGTACTACCCCCTTATTACCTTATCCCCTTATAGCCTTACCCCTTATAGTCCTACCTTTACAGCCTTATTCTCTTATAGTCTTACTTCCTTATAGCCATACTCCATTATATGCTTCTCTCTTATAGCCTTACTCCTTATAGCCCTACTCCCTTAGTACCATGGCTCCTTATTGCCTTACTCTCTTATAGCCTTATTCTCTTATTGCCTTAGTTCCTTATAGCCTTACCCCCTTAGGGCCTACTTCCCCTTATAGTCTCACTCACTTATACCTATATCCCTTGTTATCTTAACCCTTATTGCCTTACCCCTTTATAGCCTTACTGCCTTACTCCCTTATAAGTTTACCCCTTATAGCCTTATTCAACCTTTAACCTTTGACCCGGCACAGACATACAGACACGTAGACACTGAGCATTATATATATATAGATGTTGATCTAGACTGTGTCTTCAAAACTATGACGCAAAGTTTGATGAAATGACGTCAAGTTTATTTGAATAAAATTTGTTTTATAATTTTAATGATCTTACTAAATAACATCCAATTATTTTTCTGAAATCATCATTTCTGAACATAAAGGAAAACCTACTTATGGAGCGAATTTTTCGCACTCATATTTTATAGCTGAGAAAATCTTACAGTTAATAACATTTTAAATAAAAAATACATTATTACTTCACATAAATACTTTTCAGTATTTGCAGAATTGCTCCTGTTGTAAGGATTCTTATTGCAACACCAATTAAAATATCCAAACCAATTATTTATTTAACTCTGATATTCAGAAGATATATCCATAAAAAAAAAACTTTTTCTTAACATTGAAAACTAAAAAAACGTCTTATCCGTGATGGAGACAGAAATTAACACTTGAGACTTTTCAGAATGTTCGTTCATTATAAGCACCTGTGTTGATGTATATTTAAAGAAGTGTCTTAACGAATTTATATCGTATTATAATACAAATGATTAAAAATAAGGTCTAATAAATACATACAGTATCATAAGTAACAACTACTTTCACGTTTCTATTATGGCCTGATAATTTATTGAACTTTTATCAATCGATGTCACTTGATAATGTTGACAAAACGTTTTGTCAGCCACTACTTTTTTCTATTATATCAATAGTCACTATTCATTTGTACTTCACATAATCCTACAAATCCTTTGTTTTTCTTGTTGTCATTGATTTATTAGTATTTGTCATAGTTTTAATAATTAAAAGCTGTTAGTGCAATTTCTGTAGGATCAGAATGTCAAATACGATCTAGTTGCTATTGTTAATTACAAGATTTTGCTTTATTCACTTATTTTGATGAACCACACATCTCTTCATGATCCTTTGAATTGATAATCCTTCAGAGATACAATAAGAAACTAGCTTAGCACGAGACATCATTGAAATACAATCTATCACGAAACTCATTATTTAAGAATATGGTTTCAAATTTAAGAAATTTATATTTACCAATATTTGATTTACTTTTTGTATTAATATTCTTACGATCATGTTGTTATCAGTTACATAAGCACTTTATGCTTTTAAAATATCTATCAGTTATATAAGTATGTATAGATCATTTAACATCAAAAACAGCTTTTTCTAATACAAAATGTGTTACACTTGAATCGACTATGATATACAAAAACATACATGAAGTGGACATGATTTTTTGAAAATTAATATTATGTTCAAAACAAACGGCATCCATTATATTATAGTATCAATAACTACTTATAACTATTCTCAACAGGCACCGTCTTAAAGATAATACAAAATACAAGTAATAGATGATGAAAAAAGTGCTGTTGGTGATCAACACAAAAGAATCTTATTATAATAATTTGAAATATTAAAATAAAAGTTCTTCTGTATATATTGAATACAAATATGTACCATGACAGAGTTTTCTACTACTTTAATAATATTATTCTTAGATTGAATAATAAAGAAATTCTATTTACAAAACTATCAAATAGTTAAATTAGACTAATTCCAAAATAAATAGCCTTATTAATAGTTAATATATTCATTACTTCGTCTTAAATGTTTTCATATATTAAAAATTCGTTCGCTTACGAGAGTACATATCCAACTATCGGACACTATTCAACTTCATATTATGACTATGAATCAATTTTCGTTGACACAAGAAACTAATAAAGAAATTGTTACTAAACCAGATATTCTTTGTAATCATAAATCCTGGAATAATTTCTCTTAATTTTCATTTCACAGTACAATGCGTATTTATCTCTTGTCGAATGAAATCTCGGTTCTGCATGATATTATATTTCATAATCATTTGTATAATAAAAAAATTCAACATTTAGTTGAAATAACCTATTTTACTATTTATATATATTTTAACAGATATAATCATTTGACAAGGTAAAGAAAAAAACAAGAACTACATAGCATTCATTAGAGAGAACAAACAATAAGTCTACATCTGACAAAAAAAAATAATAATAAACACAGAATAGATATATATATTTTTTTTTTTCTTTTTGATCTATCACATATTGATACCAAATCTAAATCACCAAAAAAATTTAATTAAGATTAATGAAATATTCAATATAAACTTACATAATCAAACTTCAACAGCAGTGGTACCATTCATAATCATATTTTCTGTTTCATTTGATTCCATAATAGGTGTATCAGTTACTTCACTTATTTTTATTTTTTTTGATTGATCACCAGTACGTTCATCATCACCATTAGTTGCATCTAATTTTTCATCTTCTTGTTCAAGTTCACGTTTTTTACCCATTGTATTATCTGCACCATTTGTTAAAATAATTGATTCTTCTTTTTCACTTTCATTTACTTCTTTTAATGGTATATTTATACGATTTGGTGAAATACTTGCTGTTGATACAGTTGAATTTGAATCAGTAACATTTTCTTGTTCATCAATTGATGTTGTTTTTTCTTCTTCAATTGTTGTTGGTGCTACTGCAACTTCTTCTTCTTCTTCTTCTTTATTTTCTAATATTGGTGCTGTTTCTTCCGTTGTAGTTATTGATGATTGTTCATCATTAGATTTTGTTGTATCTTCAGTTGGCATTTGTTCATTATTAGTTATTGCCGTATCTTCGGATATTGTTGGTTCAACATCAGTTTTTGATGTATCTTCATTTATTGCTGGTTGTTCATCAATAGTTTTTGATGTTTCTTCAGTTACTGTTTCAATAACTGGTGTTGTTTCATCATTTTGTATGGATGATACTTCAGTATTTTCCATGATGATATTTTGTCTTACTTGATAAGAGAAGAAATAAATTTGTAATGACTAGTCCGATGATATGATGTAGAATGAATGTGCACTAAAATAAAATAAGAGAAATTATACGATGATATAGACGGACGGATATGTATAGACAAGGGATTATTGTTATTTTTTAGAGTACAAAGAATACATAATGAAAATTTTATTACCAAAAACAAAAATAAAATTCATTATTGATGAAATTTTATAAAAAAAAAAAAATTTCAATATTAAATTTAATATTAAGCAAAAAAATATATATATATTTATATAAGAAAATAATTATTGATTGGTAGTTTAATATAAACCAATAGAAAAGAATCGTAATAATATTGTATAAAAAAAATGTCTGTCCGTCGATACATTCTTCTTTGTATATTAAAATAAAGAAGAAAAATAAATATAATCATGTCAACTGATGATGATATTTCGGCTGTTTCGGATGTTGAAAATGCAAAAATATCAGATGGTACAAGTACAGCTGGTGAACATAATACGGATAAAGTCAATGATGCAAAAGTTGAAGAACAATCCGATGTAAATTCAAGAATCGAAGAAGAAAATCAACCTGATGATGAAATAAAAAGAGAAAATAATAAACGTGATATTGATGAAATTGAAAAAAATGGTTCAAAAGAAGAAGAAGGACAATCGGCAGTAGAAAATGAACAAGATGAAACAGTCGAATCAATATCAACAAATAAAAAAATAAAAATTATTGATACAACAACAGATGAAAATAATGAAACAGATTCGGAATTACCGAAAGAAGAATTAACTGTTGTTTAATTTTAATGTGTAACATTTCGTTTTCTTGTAATCTATTTCATTATTGTATCTTTCTCTTTGAATTCTTTTTTTTTTGTATTTATATATCAATATTAGATTTTTTTTTTCTTTAAGATTATTAAAATATGTCAACAACAACAACAACAACAACATTATCAAATCTTTTTGAAATTAAGTAAGTTTTAAATCATCTTAGAGATTGAAACGAATCCAATGAAAAAAAAAAACAAACTAATTTGATATTGTATTATTTAGAGATGAAGAAGCTAATGAATCATTTTTACTTGGCAAACGAGATGTATTATTAAATAATTATCAATCAGCATGTGATCATTTATCAAAAACATGTGAACGAATGTAAAAAATTAACTTTTCTTTTACTCGATTTATATTCAAAAAAAGGTTTTTTTTCTTCAGTGTTAAAGTACGTGAAAGTGATACAGCACCTGAACTTGCTGAACCTTACTTTTATTATGGTCAAGCATTACTTTATCTTGGTCTTAGTGAACAACAAGTATTCGGTAGTGATATCGTTAAAGGTAAATTAAAAATAAATATTTTTGTTTTTTTAACGTAAAACAATCAAAAAGAATCTCAGAGTTGATTATAGTAAAATAATCCATCCTCTGTTAAAACAAACTTCTTAATCTTTAGGGATGTACCGAGACCGAGCCTCTCGGTCTCAGTTAGGGGTTTAGAACAGTTGCGCGAGGACACTTGCTCGCTATAACAGTTACATAGGGTCCTATAGCGAGCAACTGCCCTAGGGGGCAAGTGTCCGCGCGCAACTGTCCTAGCGGGCAAGTGTCTGCGCGCAACTGACCTAGCGGTCAAGTGTCCGCGCGTAACTGTCCTAGCGAGCAAGTGTCCGCGCGTCACTGTCCTAGCGAGCAAGTGTCTGCGCGCAACTGTCCGGATCCCCTCCGTTAGCCTTGTCTCGGTGTTAATGAATATTGATCTCGAGTACAATTAACTTCTTATTCGTTCTTTATCCTAGGTAAGCATTATATTTCACTTTCGGTCGAAATTATTATTTTGTCAACCAAGACTGAAAGTCTCGGTACATCTCCATTAATCTTGAATGATTATTATAGAATTCTTTGTTAAAATTACGAAAGACATAGAAATTATATCATTTATGTTTGTGTAGATACGGATAATGATGAAAATGAAAATATTGAAGAAGAGACTGGTAAGGAATTAAAAGATGAAGGCGAAGCTGTAGAAGAAGAAGATGATGATGAAAATGAAGATGATTCAATTCCAAATGATGAAAATGTTAATGATCTTGAACGTGCTTTTGAAATTCTTGAATGTGCTCATATGATATATTCAAAAATGTTTGAAACAAATCCAAATGATTCACATATTATTACACGTATAGCTGATATTCATGTTATGCTTGCTGATATATGTAATGAAAATGGTGATCATGAAAATGCTCTATCACATGTACTTAAAGCTATTGAATTACAAGAAACAATAATTGAACATCAACGTTATCGTTTACTTGCTGAAAGTTATTATAAATTAGGTTTAATATATGAATTAATTCATAAATTTTCAGATGCTGTTGATAGTTTTAATAAAGCTATCGATAGTATTAATCAAGCTATAAAACAATTAGATAATGATAATGATAAAGAAAATGAACGTGAAGAACTTAAATCACTTTTACCATCAATTGAACTTAAACGTAATGATGCACAAGCATCAATTGTTGATCAACATTTAATTGTTCAAGCAAGAAAAATTCTTACAGGACAAAATAATACAACTGAAATTAAAACAATTGATGTACCAGCAAAAGATATAACATTAAATATTCGACATAAACGACCAGTTATTGAAACAGAAAATGATGATGATGATGA